AAAATGGGGTGAGGATCAGAAGCAGTGATAGATGTGAATAGGCTTTGAAAACTAGAAAGTGGATTCAGGTTAGGAGTAAAGAATGGTCAGAGTAGGGACAAGGGCTCAGAACCAGCCACAACAAGGTCGCTATGTGGTCAGGTCACAGTTCATAGGCCCTACAGGGATCAGAAGAGATTTTAGCAAGATGGCAGCCCAGGTATGCTCAGGGTCTGTTTCCCTTTTACTCTGTCTTGTTCTCAACCGACCAGGGCCCTCTATTCTCTGGGCCACTATACCAGTCCTGCTGGGATGATGAAGCTGTAGCAACATTCTTTTGTTCAGCAGGTGCTCAGTGTAGTCCCCAGAAGAGGCTGCTCATCTCTGTCATGCCACCCTGGTGTGGTGAGGTTCCTGTGTGTTGAGAGAGGGAGGAGGTGAGGAGAGGAGGCTCCAGGGGTGGGCCCAGGATATGTTGCAAAGAAAGGTTCATGAGTAGCTGGCCTGGGAGGTGACCAAAACCAGTCATGTGTGCCAGCACCCATTCACTCAGCAAATATTTGAATGCCTACTAGAATGAGGCTCTAGAGCCCAGGTAGGGACCATGTGGTTAGTCTAGTAAGAATTAGAATGAAAGTGATGTAGACTGCCTAGAATTGGGACATGTAAGCCTTTCCCAATGCCTGGCCTGCTGAAGGCTGCCACTCCCTACAAATTCTAAGCTGACCTGTTACTGTCCCCTGACCTTTCCCACCCTGACACCTAGTTTGACCCTGGTTGTCCCCTTATGCCTATGTGTAGTACAGGCTGTGCAGAGCCTTCTTGGGTCCCGGGATTTCTCCTACCTTGGTAGGCCCTCCAGGTCACTGTGTTATCTGAAAGGGCCACCTCAGTAAGAGACATGATACCCTCACTTTTCAGGTGAGAAAAGAAACTCAAGCCATCAGGGTATCTACCAGGACCATGTGGACAGTAGTCAGTGGTAGTGTCAAGACTTGAACTCAGCTTCTCAGGATTGGGGAAAACTGGAACATTGGAGCAAATTTTTTCAAGTGTACTGTTACTCTTTTGTCTGATTTCAAAAGTAAAGCATGTAAAAATGTCAGTTTTGTAAACTTGGAAGACTTAGAAATTATGTCATTACTCTTAAGCCCCTACCAATACAGAGATAATCACCTTTAATAGTTTGGTTTATTCTTCCACATTTTATTTTATTTATTTTTATTTATTTATTTATTTATTTATTTTAAAAGATGACCGGCAAGGGGATCTTAACCCTTGACTTGGTGTTGTCAGCACCACGCTCAGCCAGTGAGCGAACCGGCCATCCCTATATGGGATCCGAACCCGGGGCCTTGGTGTTATCAGCACCGCACTCTACCGTGTGAGCCAGGGGCCGGCCCCATTCTTCCACATTTTTATTTATTTTTATTTATTTATTTATGTAAGGGGATCTTAACCCTTGACTTGGTGTTGTCAGCACCACGCTCAGCCAGTGAGCGAACCGGCCATCCCTATATGGGATCCGAACCCGGGGCCTTGGTGTTATCAGCACCGCACTCTACCGAGTGAGCCAGGGGCCGGCCCCATTCTTCCACATTTTAAAGGACATTTTGTAATATTTGTATTCATTATTGTAACAAATGCAACATACATTGTACCCACTTACATGCTTTGTTTTTACCCAAATAAGTTAATATACATACTCTTCAGCAACCTGACCTTTTTTTAAAGTATCTTATATTATGGAAATTCTCAGACACACAAACAGAAATAAACTAGTACCCCCATTTATCATCCAGCTCCAACAACTAACTTCCTTGTTTTTGTTTCATCTTTTCTTTCCCCTTTCATTTTTTCCCTCTTAAGTACTTTAAAGCACATCCCAAACATCTTATTATTCTTTCATAAATACTTAAGTATGAGGGCCGGCCCGGTGGCTCACTCGGGAGAGTGTGGTGCTGATAAATACTTAAGTATGTATCTCTAGCAGATGAGAATTTTAAAAGAATACTTACAATATCCCCTTATCTGCAGGGGATGCATCCCAGGACCCCCAGGGGATGCCTGAAACCTATATATATTATGCTTTTTCCTGTATATACATACTTATGAAAAAGTTTAATTTATAAATTAGGTACAGTAAGAGATTAACAATAATAACTAACAATAAACTATATAATTATAACAATATAATGTAATAAAAGTTGAGTGAATGTGGTCTCCCTCTCAAAATATCTTTCTGTACTCATCTGTCTTGTGATTATGGTGAGATGATAAAATGCCTATGTGATGAGATGAAGTGAGGAAGGAGAATGACATAGGCATTGTGGTGTGGCTTTAGGCTACTGTGGATCTTACGATACATCAGAAGGAGGCTTTGGGTGATCCTCAGTCACTGAACCATCACAATGTCAATGCTGGATGTCAGGAGCAGACAGCGTTGATGACTAACGGGCAGGTAGTGTATACAGTGTGAATACGCTGGGCAAAACGATGATTCACATCTAGGGCAGATGGTGCAGGATTTCATCACACTACTTAGAACAACACACAATTTAACATTTAAGGGCCAGCTGATTAGCTCACTTGGTTAGAGCGTGGTGCTGGTAATACCAAGGTCAAGGGTTTGGATCCCCTTGCCAGCCAGCCACCAAAAATAATTCATAAGATTCATTTATTTATTTATTTCTGGAATTTTCCATTTAATATTTTTGGAGCATGGTTGACTGTGGGTAACTGAAGCCATGAAGCCATGGAAAGTGAAACTGCAGATAAGGGGAAACTACTGTACCATTATCATACCCAACAAAATTAACAATAATTCCTTTATATCAGCTAATACCCAGACTAAATCCAGTTTTTGTCAGTCATGTCACAAAGTGTTTTCTCAATTGATTTGTTTGAATCTGGTTCCAGTGAGAGCCACACACGGCAAGTAGTTAGTATGTCACATATCTCAATCTGTAACTCTCAACCCCTCCCATGCTGTTTATTTTTTAGAGAACTTGGGTTATTTGTCCTTTAGAAAGTCCCACATTCAGGGTTTGGCTGATTACATCCTCGTGGAGTTGTTTAATACATGCATCTATCCTTCATATTTTCTGTAATATGAATAACTAGTAATAAATTTTAAAGGCTTGGATGGAGTCTATGTTTTAAGACAAAAATGCTTCATTGGTGATGCCATGTACTTCCTATTGCATCACATCAGGAGGCTGTTGTTGAGGTTGATCAGTGAACCTGACTTTATAGTTGTCTTTCCACATCTGTATACATAGTTCTTAATTTTAAAAGATAAATTTTTTAAAACAAATGCATGTAGTTCAGATACTTAGGATACTTGAACTAGAGTGATGAGAAAAGGCTATAATGTGGCCCTCAAAAGCAGCCCGTGTCCTAAGACGAAGGGAGCAGATATGTATGGAAAGGAGGAAGCACTGGGTCAGAGGAAGTTCTCAGAGTTGAGGCCAGCAAGGCACTGGTGCTGCCAACAGCCTGCTGCCCTTCTGGGACATTATGTAAAATGATGTAACTGAGTGAAAAAGTGGCAGCAAGCTGGCCTCCTCTCTGTGCTCAAATCACTGAGCTGCTGTCGTGAGGGATGCCCATGAGCCCAGAGCTGTGAGCCCACCGTGTGAAGGAAGGCAGGCTTCTTGGTTTGGGAAGACTGCAGCTTTTTGGTCTTTATCTCCTTGTACCTTGGAAGCTGAAATCAAGGTGGTCTTCTGGTGCTTCAGTGGTGAGTTCTAGACTTGTGGAGGGGCTGCCTGCTTTGGAGACAGTGGGTGAGACGACCTGGAGCGGCACTGTCTAAGGGCTGGAATGGGTCACCTAGGAGACCATGTAGTCCAATGCCTCATTTTACAGATGTGAAAACTATGGCCAGGAGAGGGGAAGGGATGTTCCCAAAACCACATAGTAAGCTGGTGGCTCAACTAAGGCCAGCATCCATGCCTCCAGTTCTCTTAGTGTGGTATCCAGCCAACATTTCCTACTTAGGATTTCTGAGATGCTGAAGGTGGTCAGGTCAGTCTCCTGAAAGATTCTTAATGTGCGGATGCACCCAGAATTTTTGGGTATCCCTTGGTGTTGGTCTTATCCTCCTCCTTGTTCTTCCTGCTGGGTTCGTTGACTTTTCAGTCTCCTGAAAGAGTCTTAATGTGCGGATGCACCCAGAATTTCTGGGTATCCCTTGGTGTTGGTCTTATCCTCCTCCTTGTTCTTCCTGCTGGGTTCGTTGACTTGAAAGTGGTAGTCAGTGATGGTCTGTTTTGGTGGCCAGCCTGGTCTGTGGTGGTGTGGTGGTTTGAAGCAAAAGGGGTGTAATGAGTCCCTGCCTCAGCTTCACATTAGTGAGATAGCCAGGGCAACTCAGGCTTCAGTTTCCTAAAGTGATTGGACCAGATCAAGATTGCCTGAAACATGGTGTGTGTGTGCCAGGTGATATGATGATAAACAGCTTTTCCTTCATTACCTCTATATTTATCTTTCACTTATGGTAAGTAATATGGGTTTTCCATTTACAGCAGTGCATAAGCCTCCTCTTTAAATGTATTGAGGCTAAAAAGTTGATTTAGACAAAATAAGGTAAGTAGTATTCCAACATGGCAGAAAGGGGAATGAAAAAGATTGTAGTGTGGAAGACTATAGAGGCTGTCCAAAGTTAGAAGACAGTCTGAATGTTCAACTTAATTGAGCATGTATTTATCAATCTGGGTTGGTTATCGTGGGAGAATGTAAGGACAAATGAGACAGGGTCCCAGTTTCTGTGTAGAACCACCTGGAGGCTGTTTTGTATTTTTGTGTGATATGTTCTGGGCCATGTTCATGGTAAGTTTCTGAGTCCTTGCTCTTTGGGTAGTGACCCATGACTATCATCCTCTAAAGACCCTTGAGAAGTTTGCTCAGCGGTTCAGTCATAATCAGCTTCTGGAGCTGAGAGAAGGTGGGGGTATTGGCATGGAAGCCAGGGGGAATAGGCTGCAGAAATGGGCAATCAAGGTCTCTCTGCCTTTCAGGATTTCCCTGGGGAGAATCTTCACTCAGAGCTTTGCTGACAGCCAAGGATGGCAAGCAAAGGGCCCTCAGCCTCTGCATCCCCTGAGAACTCCAGTGCAGGGGGGCCCAGTGGAAGCAGCAATGGTGCTGGCGAGAGTGGAGGGCAGGACAGCACCTTCGAGTGTAATATCTGCCTGGACACAGCCAAGGACGCCGTCATCAGCCTCTGCGGTCACCTCTTCTGGTCAGTGTGCCTGCTGCTGCCAGAGGACATACTGCAAGTTTGGAAAGCCTGTGGTCTTGAAAGGGACAGGAGACCTGGGTTCCCATCCCACCTCTGCTCCTGATGAGCTGGTGACTGTGGGCAAATCCTATCTCCATCCGGGGCTCCTTCTCCCATCTCTAAAGTAATAACACTCACCATTTAGTGAGCACTTACTACCTGCCACTTGCTGTGCTGAGCCTAGGTCAGTATAGTATAGTGGTTATGAGTAAGGACTGTGGAGCCAGACTTAGTCCTTCAGAATCTTGACTCTTGCCACTTCCCTACTGGATGACCTTGTGCAAGGTGCTGACACACACTCTGCCTCATATTTCAGGGTTGTTTGTGAGCATTAAATGACTCAAAATATGTAAAAGTCTTAGAAGAGTATGTAGCATGTAGTGAATATTGTGTTAGCTATGACCATAATAATAATTGTTAATATATTTTATGTATGTGTATACATATCAAAATGAAGTGGCAGAGGCCCTAGCCATTCCAGCCTTGATGGTTACAGAAGCCTCTCCTGGCTCTGAGAACCTGGGTGAATATTGAGTTTTGCTGTTTTCTCAGACTTTGAGCTGAACTTTGAAGGGTGATTTGAGTAAGCAGAGGGGTGAGAATGCCAGGTAAGGTGAAGGGTTACACCAAGGCAGGCAATTTCTAGGGACAGGAATGTGCACTGTTTGGTTCATCTGAGACCCCAAGGCCACTGTGTACCTCCCACAGCACCTTGGATGGGGTTGGGAGTGTTAGAGAACAAGACTGGTTATGGGAGGTTTGGGCCAGGTTATCAAACCCAGATTTGACTGAAAGGACATTAAGCTAATGAATAAGCAGGGAAATGGTGTGAAGAAAGAATCATTCAAGCAATATTTATGAGAGTTTAAGTTGGCAACAGTGTAAAAGAAATTTATTGGTGAATGAATAGAATGGGGCAGAGATTTTTGTTCTTGAGGATCTTGCCCTGATCATTGTTTTATGTGGAAACTATTGTGATCAGCCTTTTCTTAGAAATCGGAGATACTTCAGGATATCATAAAACTAGGACTTGAAATGAGAGAAATAAAAATTAAGAGGCAAGGTACTGTTGGAAAAAACACAGACTCTAAAATGAAACAGATGTTTCCAGTTTGGATAGTGTGTCCCTGAGCAAATCTGCTAGCTTGTCTTCAGTTTCTTCATCTGTAAAATGGAGATAATTGTGCTTCCAGTGGCATTAACAAATGAAAAGTATTCAGCCACAGACTGGCACACAGTAATTGCTTGATAAATGGGAGGAATCACCATCATTGTTATAACCCTGAACTTTCCTCTGAGGGTTATTCAGTCACCTCCATTTCTCCCTCGCAGCCTGTGAAGGAAGTTGCCAGTAGAGATCTGCCATGATTTGGGGTGCTCTCTGCTCAGTTTAGAATTGCATTGCAAGGTTAATGTTTGAATCAGATCTGTTAGGTCCAGGAAGGTTGCATATCTGGTTTGTGAAGCTAAACTGTGGTTCAGGAATTGGGAAAGGAACTATCCTCTATAGTTTATAGTTTCCTGTGGCAGGTTGTTTTGTGTTTCTGAGCCTTGGTTTCCTCATTTGAAAAATTAGAGATCGGGCAGCAACTCTAAGGTGAAGGTAGTAGCCCTTTCTGCCAGGTAGCATGCCCATCCTTTCCACTACTTAAAGATGTTTTTAGTGTATACCTGAACTTTTTTTTTTTCCTCAAAGATGACCAGTAAGGGGATCTTAACCCTTGACTTGGTGTTGTCAGCACCATGCTCACCCAATGAGCTAACCGACCATCCCTATATGGGATCCAAACCCATGGCCCCACACTCTCCAGAGTGAGCCACAGGCTGGCCCCATACCTGAGCTTTTAAGCTACTTTTTACCAGTGGAGCTCTCAAGGCTGAGGACAGCCTGAAGATTTTGTTAAACTGAATCTGGACTATCTATGAACCCACTGAAATTGAGTGTAAAATAGTATGTGGGTGCATGCATGTATGGATTTTACTGCACAGAGGGTCCTAAGCTTTTATTGGATTCCTTCAGAGGCTAAAACCTTTCAAAGGTTAACTGGTAGAGAAGCTGGATCTGGGTGGTCTGGGTCCTGGGGATTCTTCACATAGTAGTGGGATTCCAGGGGCAGAGACTCAGGTCTTGTCATGATTGTTTCATTTTTCCTGTGATTTTAGGCCAGTCGTTTCTAATTTCTGATACCAGTATTCCCACCCTCAGTGGGGTTGCAGTGCCCCACAGTTTTCTCCTATTTTCCCATTCTGCTGCTCCTACCTCACCCATCAAATGTTTATGCTAATGAAAGCATTTTTCTTCCTTTCCCCCTTTCTCTTTCTCCTTGATGACTGGTTGCCCTGGGGACTCTGGCAGTTGGCCATGTTTACATCAGGTAAGATGCATTTCATTTTACTTTGTCTTTCATCAGCTGTGGTTGCACAAGACAGCCCCAGTCTCAGGAGACTGCTGTCAGAAGCTGCAATCTCCCCTGCTTGTGGGCTCATTTGCTTGCTTGCCCCCTAGCCCTCTTTACACACCTGTCGGCTGACAGGCATTTGATGAAATTAGGAGTCAGTGTGGTACCTGGGATGGTCCTAACTCTGCCACTGATGACCTTTGTGGTCTTGGCAGGACACCACTTCTCTGGGTCTCAATTTCTCATTTGTAAATTGGGTTGGATTTGATAGTATGTTAGATCTTTTTTATTTTTTAGATTCTGCCTCTATAAAAAGTGCCTCCTATTATATCAATTGTCCCCTCTACCCTTGACAGTCTCAAAAATATTACGAAGGGGAAACGTTTTCTGGTATCACCAGAGAGCTTTTGTGAGGGGAAAAAAATCTGTTTTCCCAGCCTTAGCTTATAATAAGAACAAGTTAGTATTCACCAAGATCCAGGCACCTGCTTGTGAGACAGAGTTGGGCTTGGCATTCACAACTGGCATTCACAACTGAATAATCACTACGAGCTGACAGTCTCCATGGTTGTCAGCACTAGAGCACGACACTCATGGATGGTTTTAGGAATGTGAGGGGAGGATAGGAGTTCTAGACTGCTACAGCCTGAGAATCTAGATGGAAGAAGGTGGGTGGGGGGTACACAGGGCTGCACATTCTGACCCCGCAGAACCTGGTGGAACACGTGGGCTATGAATTTATGAAGAGCATGTACATAACATGTACATAATGTATGTAAGTTTTGGAGCCATTGACAGTAAGATAAAGTTGGATACAAAATCATTGAATGCTGCTGTCTCCTCAGCCCTGAAGTCGTAGGTTCACATTTATATAATAAACCTCATATCATTGGGTCTTAAGATGCAATTTATGTTCTAAAATAAATATTGGGAAAATATGCATATAAAACTATTATAAAGACACTACAGGTAATGTGTTTTTGTCATTTTTATTTTGTTTTTAAGAAAATTAAGCAAGATGTTTTTAATGTAACCAGTGAGAGGGCCTGGGAAACCAAAAACAGGATTCTGGGGGTTTTTTTGATATTGAAAGAAATAGTTGAATGCAAAAATCAATGAAAGTACATAAAATACCTTAGGCAAATTTAGATAATGAGCAAAATGTATCCTTTAACACATAGTAAGTTGCCAGAAAATGATCGGCTTATGTCCAGATGCTGTTGTCTGGGATACACGGTTGTTGAGGAAATGCTATAACAATGAGAAATCACAGAAAGAAAAATATGACTGACAGGATGATACAATTGATCCTTCAGGGAAGGTGGAGATTTAAAGTTTGTTATACCCACACCAACAGCCTAAACTGAGGCTGGGTATGTCTGACCCCTTGACAGCCCCAGGCTTGCAGTTCCTTCCTGCCATATTGCTAGGAGACCCTAGAGAGAAACAAAGCATGAAAAAGTCTGTTTAATTACAATGGTATTTAAAGGCAATTTTGATTTCACCACTAGTAAATATTTATTGAGTGCTAGGAACAAGAACCACAAAATCAGGTTTCTTGAGGTGTTCCCTGCTCATGCTGGTGTTTTCCCAGTTTGAGCCTCACCCCAGTTGTTCTCTTCCTGGCTCTGACTGACTACCTGTGGTGGGCCTTGGGCCATTCATGCATTTTTCTGTCCTGCTTGCAGTGGTTGGAGACCAGACCTAACAGACAGGTATGCCCAGTTTGCAAAGCCGGCATCAGCCGAGACAAGGTCATCCCACTCTACGGCCGGGGCAGCACTGGGCAGCAGGACCCCAGGTGAGGACTTTTTCTCCCCCTGGATGTAAATTCACTTCCGTTCAGTGTTCCCTATCCCACCCTTTACTTAGTGCTTGATGATCCCTCGGCTCTGAGGCAGTCTGTTCCAGATGGGAGTCAGCCAGGAGGGGATGGGAGCCAAGTTGCCACTTGCTGGGCTGTAATACAGGTACCCACTGAGTGTCATCTACAGATGAGCAGACAGTGTGTTGGGCCCGGGGCCCCAGCAGTGCACATGCCATCACTATTGCAAGTGTGCAAAGTGCTGTGAAAGAGCACTTCCTGCAGCCTGGAAAGCAGGATGTACAGCAGGAGATTCTCTAGGGAGCAGGGTTGCTGCAGCCATAATGTGTAAAGTATGGGGGAGATGGTAGAGTCTGGGTGGATTTGTGGAGGTTGGGATTTCTAGAAATGGAGGTACGGGTGGGTCCAGCATTCCACAAACACACGTATTGAGAGCCCTTCATGGTCTAGTGCTTCCACCTTCTCCAGAAGTGTCTCTTACCTTCTCCCACCCCACCTCAGCATACTCTGTACATCAGACACACTGGATTTTTTTTTTTTTTTTTTTTTTTTTTTGACCGGCCCCCCCC